AAGCCTCGAGAACTAAACTGCCTCCTCTTGCTCATGTGTCAACATGTGGGCTATCATTTTACTCACACCCACGTACTCTCTCACACACATACACACATGCTTGTGTCGTTTTGATGATGAGGTCCAGGCAGATATCTGAGCTATCCAAGCTCTTGTGGAAGAAAAGCTGTGAAGTCCCAATTAATTTAGCGTTTCCTGTATCCCTGACCATTTTTAAAAATCCCAGAATAAAAAGTAAAAATGTCATATTCACTGCTGCAGTTTTCAAATTTTGACTTTCTTAAAGCATTCTGATGCGTAGGTTTAATTTAGATGCACATCAGTGCAGCTGTATTTGCTCACATTTACCAAATGTTTGTAATTTTTTGTTGATTGCCAATTTAGGTCAATACCATTCTGGGTTCCAGTTGGAGCGTTAGTGTTTATTCAAAATAGTATTTATTCTAATAAACTACTGCATCCTGGGCCACCAATTTGCTGTGACAATACTCAATGTAATTTAGTAGCATCAAACCTGTTCAGACTACGTGTCATTTATGCGCTGTTAAAAGTTTGATTTAGGCTATTGACTTTTGTGGTAACAAGTTTATACCAAATGTATTCACATTAGTTATATTTGTCCATGAAACCAAATGAATCCAATCAGCTACTTAGACTACAAGCATGTCTTAAAGACATAAAAACCTGGATGACCCTTAATTTTCTGCTTTTGAACACCGACAAGACTGAGGTTTTAGTTTTTGAACCTGAGCATAACAAGAGACAGCCACAAAAAGTCATACAGATTTTTTTTTTTTTTTTTACAAATATTATTTTTATTCACCAAAGAAAGTATTCACCAAAATGATCCGATTTTGTACAAAATATGAAACCCTACTTCTAAATTTGTTTTTGTGTTTATCTCTCAAAGTCCAGCATCCATTTATACAGTGGCCAAACGGAAAATGTGGCAAACGTAGCCCTATTGATCCAAGAAATACGAAATGAGGAACCAATCACAGGAGAAAACATCTGCTTAATGTCTTCATTTGCACTGCTTATTAGCAGCATCTATACCAGTTTGAAATCATTAAGCTGTTGATTTTGGAAGTGAAAAGTCATTAGTTGAAAAATGGAAATGAAAACAATGGCAAAGTCACCGCTTTAACACAAAAAACTTGAAGATTACACAAGTTTACACAAAACAGCAACTAATAATCTGTCACAGACCTGATTCAGCTCCAGCAGCTCAACGTTTGACAGCGTATCCTCTGGTGGAACAATGTGAAGGAAGTTAATTGTAATGAGTGATTGGGGTTGATGATGCTCAGTAAATGCCCCATTAAACCTCAATTAATTTTCACTCAACTGCTCTGCTGAGGAGGACTTAATATGCGAACGAATAAATCAGTAAGGATTCTGCACAGATCGTCAGCTCTGCAGCTGTGAAGTTCTGGAGTTCAATTTATCATTGTACAGTGATGCTGTTCCAGTCATTATCTGTTATCTATACAGGAAATTATGGGATGAAAAAGTTATGTTTACTGGGATGTTATAATGATGTTACAAATTATATGGCCTGAGTGCACTATGCTCACTGTCTTTAGTTGTTTAGCTTTTCTTTTTCTTAAAAGGCTAATTCTTTTTTTAAGTTACTTAAGTACTTCTGAGTAGATAGTATCTTAGCTGCAGTAGACAGCAATCAGAACAATTTGTTTGAAGAATCAAACAGTCTAAACAGGTAAATAATTAACAGAAAGTTAAAATGCACAATTACACATTCCAGCTTACCATATAACAGTGAATGTGGACCTAAATTGACATCAGTAAGTAGTAGCAACATGTTAGAGCACTTCTACAGCCTGGGGAAATCTAGACACATGTACCATAACGTTTCTGCCTGAATAATTATGGATTTTTTTTTAATGATGACAGCATAAAATCATACTGTGGTGTATGATACTGTGATATTTTTGTGATTAGAACTGTTTTAATATGGCAGGGATCCACTTTGTTTTTGGTCCCGCTCAGACTAGAAGGTATCTCACTGGGCTGCAATTTCAACAGCTTTCCGAAAGGAGTCTTCAGAATGTCTGATGACGTTTGCAGTTTTCACTTTCCTCAGTTGAATTAAACCTGTATAAATCATAACCTCTGTATTCTTGCTAAGGTCCTAAAAAAATGAACATTCAAGTTAAGAAGTATTTGGACTCATTTAACATCTCATCTTCTCATCAACCTGGTTTCAAGAAACAACACAGCACAATGACTGCTTCGCTGAAGGTTCTTAATGATGTTGACGAAGCACTGGATGCTAAGGATTATCGTGCTACACTTTCTTAAACCTGTCTAAAGCTTTTGACTCTGTGGACCATGACTTCTTATGTCATAAGCTCTCAGAAAATGGTTTCTCAGCCCACACTATTGGTTGGTTCTCTAGTTATCTTTCAGATCGGATGCAACATGTTCAACATAATGGCACTTCTTCCAGTTATCTGTCGACAACGGTGCACCACAAGGCTCAGTCTTAGGGCCCACCCTCTTCACAATCTACATAAGTAATGTAGGTCAGATCATTCCTGATGCATCCTTACATTTCCATGCCGGCGACAAAGTTGTTTATTGTCAAGCTAGAACAGTAGCTACGATTTTTCAGCTCTTACAGTCTGCATTCAACATCATCCAGTCAGAGTTGTTCAGTCTCAAACTGGTGCTGAATGCTGATAAAACCAAAGGGATGTTGTTTTCAAACATGAAGTCAGTACCAGCACTTCTTCCTTTTATTTTATCTATGAATGGTGTTCCCATAGAGTTTGTCAATTCCCATAAATACTTGATATCTTGGTCAATTCACATCTTTCTTTTAAGCCTCATGTCGAAAACTTGGTAAAGAAATTGAAAGTAAAACTGAGGTTATTTTTTTAGAAATAGATTCTGTTTAAGTCTGAATGGTAGGAAAATCCTTGTAACTGCTACTTTCCTTACCTCCATTGACTATGGTGACATTATTTACATTAATGTTCCTGCAAGCACCCTGCCGTCTATCATGGTGCACTAAGATTCATAACTGGATGTAACTACCGTACGCATCACTGCACACTGTTAAGTGGCCATTAATTTCACGCAGGCTCTCACAATGGTACATTTTCATCTTTAAACCTCTTCTTGGTCTGTTGCCTTCATATATCTCCTGGTACTTGTTACTTCATCAATGTACAGTAGATATAGCATGTGCTCTCAGGACATCATTACCTGCAGCATCCCCAGAGTGTGGACCGAACTCAGCCAAAGGGCCTTCTCCTACTCCGCTCCTTGCAAAAAGATCTGAAGTTTAACTGTTAAGTTCATTGCAAAAACCAATGCAGACATGTTCCTGTTTTTAGTCTCCTACATCACTTTATAATGTAGCCATTTTTGTTTCGTTTTTTAATATAATTTATTTTATTTACTTTTCATTTTATATGCTTTGATGTTTGTCTATTGTTGTCTGTACCTCATCTGTGTTCTTTGTCTAAAACAGTTCTCTGTTAGAGGCGTCCTGACTACTCTGCATAAATTAAGTTAAATGAAATAAATCCATCCAAATCTGCTCATTGTCTTGTCTAAAGTGTACTCCATCAAATTAAGCCCTCAACATTGGAGTGATTACTAAGGTGGAAACAAAACAGACAAACCGGGTCATAATTTCATTATAACCCCATCTCTGAGCAGATCAAAACCATAGGACCAGTCCAAAAATATCTTAACAGCATGTATGATATTTGATGAGGAGGTGGGCAACAAATAATGTGAACGGCCTAGAATGCAGTTTTGTAAGCTGTGTACACACACATCAAGCAGAAAAAAAAAAAATTAAAATGGTTGTAAAACATTGTTGTTGTCGTCGTTCCTCTAATAGAAAGCACACCTGGATCTGCCATTCCCAAACCCCAGCTGATTGAAGCAGATGGCCGCACATCCTGAGCCTGGTTCTGCTGTGGGTTTCTTCCAGTTAAAAGGGAGTTTTTTCTTTCCACCATTGCCTTTGTGCTTGCTCAAGATGAGAGACTGTAATGAAGTGAAGATTCAATGCAATCTGCTGGCTTCTTTAGATAGATAACTTTTACTAATTGACTTTATGTCTGTGAATGCTTTTGTACAGTGTCCTGAGACAACTGCTGTTGTGACTTGGAGCTATTGAAATACACTGAATTAAATTGAAATTGGTTGCTTGATTGAAAACTTTCAGAACACAGAGATACAGATACAGAAGCGCTAATAGCATAAAAACAATATGCCGAACAGCAGCACAAACATAAGTGGAATTGAAAATATTTTTCTGCCATTTTCTCTAATTCGAAGTCACCAACTAGTCTTCGACAGTCACAACAGTGAAATACAACCTTTACCTTGTGAACCCAGTCCAATTAAACTTAGTTTATTGAATGTGAGGCCATTCAAGCAGCTACCTGCAACAGGTAAGATGTTTATTGTTCACATTTCCACAGAACCCCATTTTAAAAGATCTAAACGGTCACTTCATTTGAATTTGAACACATCACGAGACATTTGGAGCCAAATTGATACAGAGACGTGGCTAAAGCAGAAAACCTGAACCTAATGGACCCACAACTAACAAGTCAGACAAAAATAAAGACTATTTATCTATTTTTCTTTGTCTTAACTGTCACGTGACTAAAGAGAGAAGACGAGAAAATAGAAGTTCAATGAGCTCCAAAAGGTTTCAGAATGGTGTTCACATAATTAGGAGCAATGTTCCCAGCACTCCGTTTGCTTTCAGGAGCATTCATCTCATGGAGTGTTTTCTCAACACCCCCATCCCCCCCCCCCCCCCCCCCCACACACACACACACACACACACACACACACACACACACACACACGCACAGCCTAGACTCCCGCCCATTGTTACGTAGGAACCTTCACCAAGTTGCCAACCAATGAGACGCGCCTTTTCACTAAGGGGGGAGTGAAAGAAGGGAGGCTCAAAGGTTTGAGGGTAGGGAACACTTTACGACCTACAAGAGTTGCTGTTTTCCCCACGCACTATTTGTTTGCGGTCCCGTGTGGACCAGTACAGTCCAGTGGTCCTGCGCACTCCAGCGGAGGACGCTCGGGACTCTCTGAGGACGCAGAGCGCAACAGGGACCCGCAGCGTGCGTGCACACGCAGTCGCCCCGCGAGCTCGAGTCACTCGGATGTTATGAACTTTCTTCTTGGGAGAACTTTTTTTTTTTTTTCCATCTTCCAGTTGAGTTCTAACTTTTCAGTTTTCCCAACCTCGAGTCGTGATGTAGCGGATGTTTCGGTGAAGAATCCGGCTCGAATGGATCAGCTCTAAACGGGTTTTATGGGCCTGGGGTTCCACAGTGCCGTGCCAGCCCGTTGAACGCCCCCCACCACCCCCACACACACACACACCATCTGCCCTCGGAATAACTCCCCAGCGTGGACTAATGTCCACGGAAGCGCAGCGCACCTTTGGCTTATGACGCAGCTGTGAGTTGGAACCATGGACGCGGCGGCGCGGAGCGTCCGCGGGTCCGTTTGGACTCTGGGCTGCCTCCTTCTCATTTTCGGCTCCCCCTCCGTGGCGTCTCCCCATCATGGTCGGCGGCTGATCTGCTGGCAAGCCATCATGAACTGTCAGGCAGAGCCCGAGTGCGGCTACGCGTACGAGCACTACAGCCGCGCGTGCGGCCCAGTGCTGAACGGCCACAAGAAGAAGTGCCCCAGCCACTGCATCTCCTCGCTCGTGCAGCTCAATCTGACCAAAAACGGCCCGGCTCTGGAGGAGTGCAGCTGCGGCAAGGACGCGCTGTGCGTCAGCACCAAGCGGGCCATCGAGCCGTGCCTACCCAGGACTACGAGCACGGGCTGCACGGAAGCCCGGCGCCAGTGCGAGCGGGACCGGGAGTGCAGCTTCGCCATGCAGGACTACCTGCATCACTGTGGCAAACTTTTCAGCGGGGCTGTCTGCACCAACGCCTGTCGGAGCGTGATCGCCAGCATGCGTAAAATCCCCAAAGCCCTGAAGCTGGACACTTGTGTTTGCGACGGGCCGGAGAGAAACATCTGCGAGTTTGTGAAAAGCAGCATGAAGGCGCTGTGCTACGACGACCCGGACCCGTACGACGAAGGCAGCGGGTTTGAAGACGACGACTACGGCGACGACGACCCGCCAGATCCACCGGAGAAGCTGGGGAGCGGAGCCCCTCTCCCTGCAGCCCGCCGGGACTTCACCCTGCTGGCATCCATTTTGGCTCTGTTGCTCCTCTTTTAACTCTTGTCTGAGAAAAAGGAAAAGGCAGCGTGAACTTTTAAAACTCGCGGACACGAGCTTTGCGTTGTGCGCACAGTTCTTGAAACATCTGGATACTTCTATGCAAGAACAGAACGACGGGAAGGATCTGACAGGGGCTGCTCTTCACAGCTTTTGCTTATGAGATAAGCTAAAACTCTGAAAGTAAAAGGACACACGTTTGGGTTTGTTTTTTTTTTGTATCCAAGCAGCTTAATCAGTGTAATCAGCTGTGCACTGCCAATACTTTTAGTAAAACTATTTTTCTATGACGAACAGTTGCCACCTGGCACCAGGAGACCTGACTTTACAAGTATTTAATGTTCCATGAACTTGTAAATAGGAGTTAAAGTGAAACAGTAATTTATTACATGGCTCCTTGTTGCAAATCCAAATTGTCATATAAAGACTGAGAATTCCAGCTTTAAAGGGAAGTTATTATGACTGAAGTTAGTGTACATTCACTGTAAATATATACATATATATATATATATATATTCCTGCAGAGAATCCTCTATGTTTTAGGTTATGAAATGATTTATTCACAATGTAAAGTCTAGATAAAGAAACGTCTAAATCCACTGTAAAACCGCCTTAATGATATCCTTTTTTACAGAAGGCATAAAGGAAACTTGAAGATGAAATTCGTGACTGTGAGTCCGTTTGTTGATGGTGCCACGTGACTTCAGCAATAAATCAGTTGAGAAGTGAAGCGTTGTCAAAAGGTCTTTAATGAGGCGGAGATATTTATGACACTTGTTTTGCTGCTCAGTCACTTTGGGCTCCAGGAAACAAACAAAAAACAAAAAGTTGTGGCTTTTTTGTTGTTGTTTTTGTTTTTAATAAGCAGGACAGTAAATCTCGAGACAAGCTCTGACACTGAAACTGAGCAGAGATCTTCAGAGGACAAAGAAACTATTGAGATTGTATTATTTCATTCCTTTAAGTTGCATCAGTTTGGAGTGTTTTGTTATTTTCCACAGCTTCATGTCACAGTTAAACAAGTTTCAT